AATTGGGGTAGAAATAGATGAATATAAAGCATTTATTTATTACCAAAAACATTTTAATATGTTGCTAGCGAAATAAACAGTCTTGGATAGTAGTAGTAAAAATATCATAAACCGTTGAATATTAGCGGAAGCTTGCACGCATACTGCTCAGGGTAATTTTGCCAAATACAACATGATCTTAATTTAAATAACTGCAAAAATGACTATTCATTTTCATTATTTCATACTTTGGCTACAGTATTGTGTGGAATTGAAATTGATAATTCAAAAACTTGATAATTTTGAACGAACTTTCTTTAACATTGTTATAGAAATAGAGATAAATCAACATATAACTCAAGAACCCTGTCAACAGTAATGTCGTAGTCGTAGTTATTGTACGTTTCTTGCATAATTACATTTTTTAATAATATACTGTATACGGTAAATAATAATATTAAAAATTATCAAATTGTTTTAATTCTTGATTTTTATTTTCAAGTTTAAATTTAATAAATTTAATTTCAAATGAAAAGATTATAAGATATTTTACTTTTTTTAAAAAAATGTGTTCAATGAATATTATCAAATAATTCATTTAAGAAATACAGTATTATTCACCGTGATTTACATACACTAGTCAAACAATTAATATTCGATTAGGTAGAACAGTCTAATGACTGGACTCGTATAAACTCGCGATTCGCGAATTAAACCAAGAAGAGTGCTCGAATAATTCGATTGAAGTACTTAGTCGAGTTTTGTTCGAGTAACTCATTCATGGCAATTAGTTTATTGATAAATTTTACAAATTGCAAGTTACAAAAACAAATTACTTCAAATTAGTTTAGTAAATCAAAAGTTATTAATTATTAATTTTAACTATTTATTATTGATTATTAGAGTATCAAATATAGGTGAGTGGGTAGCCTATTAGTAGCTAATTTCTGGAAGCTTTCTTATAAAAATGAATACCTTAGCACATACTCTCTGAGATGTATGCTAAGCTAAGAATCATAATATATATAATATATCTACTGCCAAATAATAAAATACACAAAAACAGATCTAGCAAAGAAAAGTTATAAAATACTACAAAAGAGATCAGGCAATAGATTCATTATAGAAAGTAATCTAAATATAAGAAAGACCTTTTCTAATCCTGGTACTGAAGATAATAACAAGCATTTTACCAAATCATCTCTGACAAAATGACTTATAAAAGCAGGCTTTGCAAATACACTTAGACTAATTAATTCCAAAAATCCTAAATACGCTTGGTCGAATAAAAAAACATGCTTAAGAATAGACTATATTTGGGTAAATGCAAAACTTAAAAGTATAATATGTGATAGTAATATAGAGGAAATAGATCCATGCACAGGTAGTGATTACAATTTGAGCCAATATCTTTATGAAGCTATTTACAGAAGATAAAACCCAAAGCAGACAAATAAGCATCATCTACAAAATAGAAATCTTTATTATATGACAAAGCAAGCCCAGAAAACTGACAAGCTTATAAAGAATTATTAGACAAATATGTACAAGAAGATCAAAATAAGAAGAAAAAAAAGATCTAAAAGAAAAACAAATAGCTAACACAGATGAAAACCAAATAAATAAAATGTGGAAAAATATAGTCTATGACCAAATACTAACACTATAGTGAAATTTTTATATCAAAAGCTAGAAACATCTAAAAAGCATAATAAAACATATGAAAGGTGCAAAATCACTATAGGTGCGTTTTATAATAAATTATTTCTCAAAAGTGAATAAGGTAATTAGTGTTCGGTATACTAAGTAAAAATATTCAGCATGCCCGAAAACCTTCCCAAACCCCTAATTTAAACTTTAAAACCTAATCCTAACATTAATATTCAAATTAAAAATTTTGTAATTTTGCATAAATCTATATAGAAATCTATATAGATTTATATAAATAACTATGTGAATCTACATTGGGTTTATAAAATGTTATAAATTTAAATAAAAATTCTACATAACTTTATGTAAGCAGTTTATATAGATTTATGTAAAAATGTATTTCATGATTATTATCTGATGTTATTATAAGAGGACACTTTAAATGTATAACTCTAAGAACTGTTCTGAGAACTGCGATCTGTTCTTTATTGAAGGAGAAAAATCATCACTTATGTATCTTCTTACAACTGGTAAATACATTTGAGCAAATTGAATAAACGGCACTTATGACACAAATCACATTTCACAAATGGAACATACGGAATGGCACATATATCATATGTACGAAATGTATCCTCTATTTACAACTATACATTTAAAATCTTAAAATAGAAATAAACTACTTTATGTAAGAAATAAAAATAAAATTTTCTTCATAAAGGAATTTAAATCGGAATAGCACCTCGGCACCGGAAATTTGCTTTAGTTGATTTTTTTATTACTGGCCGGGATCATTATTTCTAAAAAATTCTTTCTGAAAGAAATAATCACGACAATTCACAAAAATTATTCCATCTTTCAATTGGCATTTCCATATATGTTTTTACTTTGTACGTGATATCTGCGAAAAAATGTTAAAATAATAATAATAATTAATCATTAAAATTGCAACCAGAAAACTAGTGATGGATCATTTACTTTATCATACAAACATAAAATAATATTTTGTGTTTCCTCGTCTTCATCATCTGAGTTGTCGAGATCAGAATTAATATTATTCTCTTCTCCGTACAACTCGTCTCGTTTCTTTTCTTGACAAATTATATGCAGGATCGTGACTAGAGATAGGGAAATGTGCATTTTATAATAACATGCGCATGAATGCGCATTAATACGCACGTTATATGATATCGCATGATATAATTTTTTTTTTTGATTTTATATTTTCTCTCCGGAAAATATCAGATATTTGCCAAAAATTTCCCTGACCTTCTCGTCTTTATGTTTATTCATTTTCTTTTCGGAAATTTTCAAAACTTTTGCATTTCTATTTCCTAATTTTGCCTGGCATTATACACCTTGACCTAAATTAAATATACTTTAATTTTTCTATATAAAATTTAGATGGGATAAAATGCGCATGATTCCGAATCATGTGCATTAATGCGCACGATTGAGGAATCATGCGCACGCATGAAACCCATCTCTAGGCAGAAATATTTATAATAAAATCTCGGTAACTTTAAATCTAAAACTATAATCTTGTTGTGGACAAAATTCCAACAAACCAAAATTTTATTAAAGAAATAATCCTAAAATAAATATTAAGAAAAAAAATTCAAAAACAACCTAAAAACGAAAAGTACAAGAAATAAATATTTGTAATTATTCTAGAACACAATAGCTAATAAAAAAAAAATCAAAACCAACTTTTAGTGCCATTTCAATATCAAACTAATTTTAAATTTTATTTATTAATAATAATAATTGTTATACAGTTTCAATACCACTACTTTGCTTTATCTCTTCTTACGAATCTATAAACCTTATAACTCAACTTCATATTCTTAGCCTATATTATAGTCAAGTTTTATATTGGTTGTGATTACAAAGAATAAGGTTTCATAAAATACGTAAAAGACGGCTTAAATTGCCAAGTTTAATTGATTTATTGTACCTATAAGGTGAGACCAATTTAATTCAGTGGTTTACGTTACATCCTACTCACAAAAAAAGGGGGAGGGGGCTGGAGGGAGTTTATTATAAATTATTTCTCCGAAATGATCCGCGATATTATAAAAATTTTCCGAAATTTTCCGCGTATATAGTGAGGGGGAAGGCAGGAGAGAGGGGGGGTAACGTAAACCACCGAATCAAATTGGTCTCGCCTAAGTTAAACTTGAATGTTCAAACATACCTCTCATCTAATTTCCGAATTACTTCGTGGATTACCAAATTACTTTGATAGTTTATAGAACAGAAGGTACTCTTTCGCTTTTTTTTGGTACTGTATCAAGTTTGGCCAATTCGTCTCCGTGGCTGTCAACCCTTTTTTGTAACTGCAAAACGTTACGCCACTATGTGGAACATATTGTGTCGATCATCTAATCAAGTAAAGCCCGATATGTTATCTTATGTTCATTCGGAATTTTAGGACTATCTCTATCCTATCCATTTTTATATTTAGGCTAAATTTTTTTGTGCAATAAAATTTTATAATTTCATTGTTTGTTATTTTTTGTGCACGCTCCTTATTTAAATTTAATTGCACGCTTGTGCATCTATAGTTAAAACTTGCACAAAGAAAAATTATGTGCATCTTGTGTAAGGAATTAATCTCTATGACAGATATAAATACCTTGAAACATTTAATAAAAAGGACCGAAAGAGAAGTAGCTTATAATGTAGGACAATACCCAACATTGCCATGATTGTGTACCCGACCAAATGTTTATCAAAAAATCAAAGGAAGATAATTTTTTGGTTACCAATAAAATGATCGGAACGGAAACCCCGATTCAACAAAGGAACGTTTCAATTATGGGTACGACCACCGATAAATGAAGTAATTTAATGTGAAAGAAAAAAAATCAAATACGGAAAATAACAGAACGCGAAATAATAAAATATACCGAATTTAGAAAAAAAAACAAACGCGATAAGAAATAAATAAATAAATAACGATAAAAATAAACGAATTACTGCGTAGATTCTACTCGCTATTTATATGCTTGGCCTGAAATGATTTGAAATTTTTTATCTGTAAAATAAAATGACAACAACACAGAAACATAGAATTTATTTATTTCTCAGCTCATCAATAGCTCAAGGCGTTGCCCTTGGTTGGATTTCTTTAATTTTGATATTAGTATTAGCTACCCTTGTAGTACGATTGTGTCAAATAACGAATTTCAACATTATATTTAACATACGTGTAGGTTTATTATTGACAATCACAACTGTAATCACGAGGGCTGTCTTTAATTATAGGATTTATGTTGCCAGCAATCTTAGCGGGTATTTTTTCTTTTGATAAAGTACCCACTTTAAGAGGATCAGCTAAAAAAATCTGTCAATTAATGAATGCATCTATGTCTCGTGGTGCATTTATTACTGGAAGAGCTTGTTTTAATTGTGGTCAAATTCGAAAAATTTCAGTTACTATCGCCTTAGTGTTAGTATGTCAATATATTATATCGGCCGTTGATTTATATCTCCATGTTTCCGCAATCGGAATTTCTCAACAAACACCTAGGCCAAAAATCACAGGTACAAGAGCACTTAATATAGCAACTAACTGTACTGAAGAAGGTGCCTACTATTATGATACTTGTGGACTATCTAGTGCAGTGTTGTTCACTGGAACGTTCCAGTGGGAATTACTGGAACTGGAAGATCATTGGACTTAACTGGATGGAATTGGAAGCATAATAGCTTCCAGTGATCGAATGTCACTAGACCATTCCAGTGAAGATTT